AGGGCTGCCGTGGAAAACAAGGGCTTACCCAGTCCCAGCTTCCCCATGGGCTTCAGACTTTGAGGCTGAGCCAGTCTATGGATAGCCCAGTTGCTCATGAACTCAGCAGAGCTCGTTCATAAGGACCACAAACACCCTCTCTCTGCCCTAGAAGGCTCTCTAACACCTGCAGTTCAGGGCCAATCTCAGTGAGACCCAAACAGGGCCTCACTGTAGAGAGAATAAAAGCAATGCAGCAGATGGAGTTTTGTAATCCTGTGGAAGCCAGTGGACAATAAGTCACACAAGACTTAAACTACATCTGTCTTGGTCATAACGTAAAGTGCTTAAGAAGAATTTGGCAGCTGGTAGAAGAAAGAACAGCATGACACCAGCCTTACCCCTGGAGGCCAGGGTCCTGAAATTGTCCAGTATCATGTATCTACACAGGTTCCTCCGTGCACCATCCAGTAATGCCCACTCCTGGATGAACCCCACGGCCACATCCTCGAAGGCGACTGATTCCTGAAACAGCACACACATTCTGGCTCAGCAAAGACCACCCCCACAACCGTGTATCCCTGTTGTCACTGGGGAAGGGAGACCCAACACAATGTCCAGACATGGAGCTCTCCCTACACCAGGAGGCAGAAAATCCAGCCCACAACCTGATTTTGTAAATAAAGTTTTATTGGCACACAGTCATGCCCATTTGTTTATATATCATCAATGGCTGGTTTTATGTTACAACAGCACAACTAAGTAGTTTCAAAAGAGATCATATGGCCCACCAAGTCAAAAATCTCTACTTTCTTTTAACATTTGGACAAATCCTAAAGTGTAAGTACTGGCTCTCTTTCTAACTCTTCTAACCTGTGACAGCAGACTTTGTCCTTCCCAGCTTAGAGAGTTTTTCCTAAACTCCTTATTTATGGCATCACAAATTTAGGTTTGACCTCCTAATTCTCGTGAAGTCCCTAAGATCCCTCCCAAGACTTATATAAGTGTTTCATAACCTTTTTATATCCATGAAAGTAGGACTTCCCTTGCATCTGAGAATCCTATTGGCCTTTTAATTTCAGAATTCTCCAGAGCAGCACTGTCCAATAGGTCTCTCTGTGACAACGGGAGTGTTCCATGCCAGTGCTTTCCAAAAAGGAGGTCACTAGTAATGTGTGGCTGCTGAGCACTTGAGCAATATGGCTAGAGCAACTGAGAAATTATGTCTTTAATTGTACTGAAGTTTAATTAATTTAAATTCAAATGTATACAGCCACATGTGTTTTCAGTAGGTCTCACCAGGGATGGGGGGAATGGCCCTGGAGGAGGCTGACTCCAGAATAAAGCACAGAGCCCCTGGCATCTTCTGTGGGACACTCCTCCCATACCAGGTCCCTCCAGAGGTCATGCATAGAAAGATGTCCCTAGGCCCCCAGTCCCCACACAGGGATGAAGACACTCCACACTCCTCCTCCCCTTTCTTCCTCGGCTGCTGGGAAGGGGTAGGGTCCAGAGTACATACTTATCTGCCCCCTCAGCCATCAGGATCCCCCCAGACTCCTCACCATGACACCAATGCCAGGGTTTGAGGTCTCAGTAGATGTTCTCCCTGCAATAAAAGAGGGATAATGTAAAAGAAGGGGTGAAGATGGAAGCAGAGCACCGACTAAGGGCTTCGTCCAGGTAATTCCAGTTTATAGGTCTCCAGCAGGGTGGCTAAGCTAAAACCCCTTACCAGGGATTTATCTCAATAAGCAACATGTTGGGCCCCCAACCACCTTTCAGACAACAGCCCCTAGTGACTTCTACTGCTTCTCTCCACCTTATAAAAGGATTGATTCCCCTCTAATATTCCCTCAAAATACCTCTAAGACACTCTACTTTTTCTCAACTGCCCTTATCAAGCTGTGATCTAATATTTGTTTAAATGATTTTTGCCTCTCTCTCCAATTACAATGTAAACTTTGTAAGTACAGACCTGCGTCTGCTTTTTTCTGAACTCCATATCCAACACAAAGTACTTTATATATTAGGGGTTGGCAAACCTTTTCTACAAAGGGACAAATAGTAAACATCCTGGGATTTGTGGACCTTGTGGTCTCTGTTGCAAACAACTATATGGTTGTAGCACAAAAACGCCATCAACAACACATAAGCAAAACTTTTGTTTAAAAGTGTAAACTTTTGTTTAAAACTTTACTTACATAAGCCAGCATCAGACCAGGTTCAGCCCACAGGCCACGGTTTGCCAACCCTTGCTTGTGTGGTAGAGAGAATCCATCAATCTTCAAATTCTCTCATTTCTGCCTCCTACAGGTATCTCAAACATTCCAACTTTTCTGATTCCACAATCATCAAGCCCCAACTACCATCATCCAAGTCCTGAACTTATTTAAGCTCCCATAGGACTCTGTATTCATCCTGGTCCATCCTCAACCCAGGAGCCTGTGTTTTGTCTAAATCACAAACACAATCTTGTCACTTCCCTACTTAAAACTGATTCACTGGCTTTGTTATGGTCTCAAAATAAGGTCCAAAGTTTCCGATGACCTTCAGGGCCTGCCTTCCCTCCAACCTGACTTACCCACCCAGTACTTGGTTTATTCTACTTTAGTTTTTCCTGTCTTTTCTGGCCTCCTGGAACACACCAGGCTTTGCACTGCCTAAAGCGGGGGTCCCCAACCCCCGGGCTGCAGACCGGTACTGGTCTGTGGCCTGTTAGAAACCAGGCCACACAGCAAGTGGTGAGCAGCGGCCAAGCAGAGTTCTGTCCTTTGTCAAATCAGCAGCAGCACTGAACTCTCATAAAAATGCAAACACTATTGTGAAATGGGCATGTGAGAGATCCAGGTTTTGTGCTCCTTAGGAGAATCTCCTGCCTAATGATCTGAAGTGGAGCTGAGGCAGTGATTAGCAGTGAGGTTTGACTGCATGTCCTGGTCCCCCCAGCCCCCTACTCCATGGAAAAAAGTGTCCTCCACAAAATGAGTCCCTGCTGCCAAAAAGGTTGGGGATCCCTGGCCTAAAGGACTGTGCATCTAGAATGTTCTGTCAAGTTTCCTCTGCAACTACTCCGCAGCTAGACTCCTTGGTTAGCCACATGCAAATCATCGTGTAGGTTCAAACATTTGTCTCTTTTCAGATGTTTTCCCTCACCTCCTCCCCAAGTTCCCCTGTTCCATGTTCCCATAGTGTCCTTTTCACTATTAATGTAAAATCTGTCTTCTCTACTAGAATAAAACCTCCCTAGGAGCAAGCACTGTATCTATTTCAGCCACAATTTCCCCAGGTACGGTCCCGTTCATTGAGGGAAACTCAGTGAAGATATGCTGAAATGCCTGAGCCCGCGGGTTCAAGACCTGCCTGGGCAACTTGGCAAGACCTCATCTCTACAATAAAAAAATTAGCCGGGCGTGGTAGCACGCGCCTGTAGTTCCAGCTACTTCGAAGGCCGAGGCGGAAGGATCACCGGAGCCCAGCAGGGCGAGGCTGCGGTGGCCGGGAACGGCCACTGCACTCCAGTCTGGGCGACAGAGTGAGTCTCCAACCCAAAAAAAAAAAAGGAAAATATGCTGAAAAATCAACTCAACACTCCTCAAGAACGATTCGGTATAGCTAGACAAAGAAGGCACTTGCCTGGGCACGCATACACACAAAAATCAAAAATCAAACATAAGAACGACTTGAAATGCTTATGCATCACACAACATACATCACAACACTAGCTGTCAGGTGTTGAAAGAAACAATATTAACTCTTTCTAAAAAGGCAAGACAAGGCATGTATGTTTTTCTGGAAACAATCACCTCACTCATAAAACTGAAACCTAATGCTTAATTTTCCTCTGGAATTATCTCTTTTTCTCATGTCTCAGTAGAAATGAGCTTTAACTTCATTATTTTAAAAGGTATCCCATTTATGGCCGGCTCAATTTGAATTTCTGGTATTAACAAAGCTTACGTCATTCCCCCCCCCTCACCAAGACCCATATGTTTTGAAGCTTTGTGATTCACACACTTGGGGTAATGATTGGAGCCGACATGAAAAGAAATGAACAGTTTACATTTCCTTGATAATAACATTTGTGACACAACTGAGGAATGGTTTAAGATATCCTTACATCACTGTGAAAAAAAAACGGATGCCCACAATCGAAGTTAAAAAAAAGATAGAAAAAAAAGGAGAAAGAGACAGGAAAAGGAACAGAAGCTAAACTAAACTTACAGATCTTAAGCTAAGGGACGGCAAAATTTTCAGTCATCAAAAAAAATCTCTTGTTATCTCTTCATCCTTGATACAATTTTTAAATAAATAGGACAAGTCACTTCAACCAGATTGCCTAGGGAATCCCAAACCTCACTTTCCAGTTGCAAAATCAGATAAAATTAGGTAGCATATGAAATAAAACGTGTACTACTAATACAGTTATCTTGCATACTAAAGGTAGGGGAGTGCCCGCTTATAGCACTTTCCCTACAAATCGGGGGACACAGAAGAGACCTGGGGCCAGTGTCACATTCAGAGCTGCGGGACCTGAACTGTACTTCGGGATTTCCCCTTCGACAGGATGACAGTCCTGTCTGCCCGGACGGGGGAAGTACCTGAGAGCGAGGGACCCCGAGGCGGTGGGCGCCAGATGCGCTCCAACTGCGCGGGCCTCACGCCGGCCCCGCGACGACCGCAGGAAGGAAGCACCTCAGCCGGGCGGCCGCTCTCGGTCCTCCGGCCCCTCCCCGCGTCCGCGTGTCCTCCTCTCCCTCCCCGCCCTCCCGAGGGGCCGGGCCACACCTGCAGAGCGGCCGGAGACACTCCCACCGCAGAGCGCCGCGAACCCCGCGCGGCCGCCGCCTCCTGCCGCCGCGCTCACTTCCGCTTCCGGTCTCTGGGCCGCCGGGAGCGGAAGTGGCTGGGGCTCTCGGGCCCAGAGCGCCCTTACGCGGCGGGTAGAAGGCTAAGTCCTTCTTCGTCGAACCTCGGAGGAAGAATTCTAGTTTTCTTCCCCGAAGGGTGCAGTTAGGTCCTGGAGTGGAGTCCGATCGAGCCTGGAGGATGGTGCTGGGGGTGGGGCCTGTGGCCGATGGGCGGGGCTTAGGTTCCCCGGGCAGAGGTGGGGCGGAACTTGCTTGGAGGCGGGGTTTGCACTTAGCCGGCGGAGTGGGCGGGACTTGAGCTTGAAGAGTGAGGATGGACCCGTCTCTGTTACCATTTTCTCTTTCCTGCCTCTCCACTCCCTCTACCTTTACCTATCAGTTTAATCCAATCCCCTACAAAAATATACCCATACTTAAGATTTTTTTGGTCTATGTTTTTATATACAATTGGCCCTTGAGCAACAGGGAGTTAGGGGAGCCACCCCGGCACAGTGGACAATCCACGTATAATTTATGGCTCCCCAAAAACCTAACCGCTGACCAGAAGCCTTACTTATAAACAGTGGATTAATATGCTTTGTATATTAACATTAATGTATTTTTATGTTTTTTATCTTGTATTAATTTTCATCTTTCCAACTTCAGAATAGATATTAGATGTATTCTTGCAATAAAGTAAGCTTGAGAAAAAACGTTATTAAGAAAATCATAAGGAAGAGAAAAAAATTTTCTATTCATTAAGTAGGAATGGATCATCGTAAAGGTCTTCATCCTCCTTGTCTTGATGTTGAATAGGCTGAGGAGGAGGAGGAGGAGGGGTTGGTCTTAGAATATCGGGTGGAAAATGCAGAAAAATAAATCCATATATAAGCGGACCTGTGCAGTTCAACCTCCTGTTCAAGCATCAACTGTACATATATTTATACTAAAAATAGGATTATATATTTTACTTATGCGTGTTGCCTCTCACTAAAAATAAAATGTGCAAAGCTGTTCAAGACAATACATAGAAGATCTGACTTTTTTGTTAAAAAAAAAAAAAAAAGCATGTAGTGTAGATAATATAAGGGGAGACCAAAGAATGGAATTATCTTTTGGTTTTGGAGGGTGGGCCCTTTGTACACTCGGAATTTATTTCTCCAGATCAAATAGTCTACCAAAATTTTTATCTGGACGTTTTTAAAAGGTTGCATCATGATTTGTGGAAGAAACATCCCAAGTTGTGGCAAACAGGTAACTGGTGCTTCCACCGTGACAATGCAGCTGCCCACACCGTGCTGAGTGTTCAGCAGTTTTTGGCCAAAAATGGAATGACCCCCATGTCCCACCCTCCCTGTTCACCTGATCTCACCCTGAGAAATTTTTTTTGTTTCTTTGGATGAAAAAAGTCTTCAAAGGGAAAAGTTTTGCCGATGTGGAATAGGTAAAACAAAAAGCAGCATAAGCACTAAAAGACATCAAAATTGATGAGATCAAAAACTGTTTTGAGCAGTGAGAAAAGCATTTTAATAGGCGTATTGCATCAAACAGAGAGTACTTTGAAGGTGACTGAAGTTTAACGTGTAAGAATAAATCACTTTTTTTTTTTTTTTTTGAGTTGGAGTCTCACTCCGTCGCCCAGACTGGAGTACAGTGGCCGCTCCCGGCCACCGCAGCCTCGGCCTGCTGGGCTCCGGCGATCCTTCCGCCTCAGCCTTCCAAGTAGCCGGAATTACAGGCATGCGCTACCACGCCCGGCTCATTTTTTGATTTATTGTAGAGATGAGGTCTCGCTGCCCGGGCGGGTCTCGAACCCACGGCTCAGGCAATCCACTCATCTCAGCCTCCCAAAGGCGCGGGATTACGGGCTGAGCCACCAAACATGGCTTAAATCACAATTTTTTTTATAAATAAATTCCAAGATTTTTGGGGTCTCCCCACCTTATAGATCCAACTCAGTACTTGTCTTAGTCTGTTCAGGCTGCTTTAACAAAATACCACAAACTGAGTGGCTTTTAAACAACAGAATTTTATTTCTCTGGAGTTGAGGAAGGCCAAAATCAAGGCACCAGCAGATTCAATGTCTGGTGAGGGACTACTTCCTAGGTCATAGACAGCCATCTTCTTGCTGTGTCATCATATGGTGGAAGGAAAAAGGAGCTCTCTGGAATCTCTTTATAAGAACACTAATTCCATGCCCAGGAGACCTCTGCCTTTGTGACCTAGTCACCTCCCAAAGCTCCTACCTCCAAATACCATCACCTTAGAGGGTGGGATTTCAGCATATGAATTTTGGGAGAACATAAACACTCAGTCCATTGCAGCACTGTAGGCTGGAAATGAATTTATTAATAGCTCAGAGACTCTTGTTTTGGGGGGTTGGAGTCTCACTCTTACTGCCCAGGCTGGACTGCAGTGGCACGTTCACAGCCACCACAGCCTGTTGGGCTTAGGTGATCCTTCCACCTCAGTCTTCCAAGTAGCTGGAACTATAGACACACGCCACCACACCTGGCTAGTTTTTTTGATTTATTGTAGAGATGAGGTCTCACCAAGTTGCCCAGAGTGGTCTTGAACCCCTGGACTCAGGCAATCCTCTTGCCTCGGCCTTCCAAAGTGCTGGTGGCTGAGCCACCACGCCTGACCTCTCAGAGATTCTTTAGGAGGTTAAGCAGCCAGGATTAATGCCCCAAATCACTCTTCAGAACTGATATAGAGAAACCCTGTCAGCACTGCTGGAAACTGTGATAGTCACTGGTGGTGTTTGAGAGTGTTCAGCTCTGCCGTAAAAAAACAAAACAAGCAGGATGAACGAAACTCACAAGACGTGTTAAGTAAAAGTAAGTAAGTTGATCATGTGTGTTAAACAGAGAAAAGAGAGAAGGGGCAAGAGGCATCTGACATTCGTGATGCATTGCATACATGAGGGGGAACCCAAAAAATGAAATTTATTAATAAAAAATTGTGTATTTATTCTTACATATTTAAACTTCAGTCACCTTCAAGGTACTCTCTATTTGATGCAATATAATATACGTATCGAGATGCTTTTCCCACTGCTCAAAATAGTTTTGAACTTGTGAATTTTGATGCGTTTTCTTTGTTTCGCCTTCTTCCATGTTGGCAAAACCTTTCCCTTTGAGGACTTTTTCATCCAAAGGAACAAACAGAAGTTGCTCAGGGACAGATAGGCTGAATAAGAAGAGTAGGGTATGGGGGGAGGGGGTCATGCCACTGTTAGTCAAAAACTGCTGAACCCTCAGTGCGGTGTGGGCAGGTGCACTTGTAAGTCACCCATCATGAAATGGATAAACACATAGAATCTCCAAAAACAGTTCACTGAAGCCAAACATAGCCTCTCATAATAATGCCAGCAGGTACTCTGATGCCGATGGGTTTCTAGGACACTTACCTAGCAGGGGAAGCCTGTACTATGAGAGGGCCACCCTCCAAAAAATAATTCTGATTTTTTTGGGATTTTTTTCTTTTTTGGTCCTCTCATAGAAAAAAACATGAAGCATGCAATATTCATGAGGTTTTTTAATCTGCCACCCATTGATGACACCAATTTGGGACCCACAAGTCTTCTACCCGAGAAATAGCATGGTCACTCAGCAGGTTAGTTGATGTCTACAGCAATGGTCAAGGTTACTGTCCCCTTCATCTGTCCAAGAGTGCAAGCATGCGTCATTTGTCCAAGGCTCCCTCTGTCTGGGGACCCCTGGCTCAAACCTCATCTCTGTCCTCGTAGCCACATCATCAGCAGAGAAGTCTGGCACAACAGAGAGAGACAGAGAAGGAGACAAGACATACAACATTGTGTGCCCTAGTGTAACTGACACAGGTCTGGCCACGTGTAGCTTGTACACTACATGAAAGGCAGTGAAAGAAAGGTGATTTTATTCCAAAAGGTGGCAGATGGTCATGCTCATACATTAAACCATTTCAGATTTTCAAGGTTTTAAAAAGGGAAACAAGGTATGGGGAAACACGTGGGCACAGCACAGGGTGCGTCTTGATGGCTTGTCTGGGGTGGTCATCATCCTGGAAGTCCAGTTGGTATTATCTCAGCTGCAGTCAGTTTATGGATCAACCATCTCACGACTTCCCTGAGGCTCTTTTCAGATTAGCCCTTGGGGTTTCTATGTAGTCAGTCTCTTTTAGGACTAGCCCCCGGGATTTCTAAGCAAGCATGTGGTCAGATAAGCATGCATAGTGCAAAGAAGTTTCTAAAATATGTTTCAAGGCTTAAGAGAGAGAAAAAACTTTAAAATACATTTCAAAACTGAGATGCTTGATTACACTAGGACTCAGCATATTCACTTGTGCCCTAAGTGTCTTAACTTTCCCCATCTCTCCTCTTGTATATCATTATGTATTTTAAATGTATTGAATGAACCATGTGACTTGGACATTTTAATTTTGTCTGAGAGCCTTTCTGTTCAGTGACCTCCAGCATGGATTGCCTGGTCACGTCCTTGGAGCCTGTCCTTGCATGGTGATAATTTCCCACATGACAGACACAAACCCCACAGTCTATATCTCCATGTGGCCAACCCTGGGTGCTGGGTGCTAACTCTTCATCCTCTGGCACTGGTACCCCCGAGAAACCTTGTGTAGCTGCTGGTACCTTCGTCAGCATAAGTTCTGTGAAATTCTTGCTTTCTGCATTGCTAGATTGGGATTCCGGTGATGGTGCATCCGCTTGGTGGAGCCTAGAGCTGGCTATGAGAGGGACAAGGGAAGGAAAGATCTGACTTCTAGAGCGAGAATAATAGGAAGTGATGAAATGAGTTAGGCTGCCAAAACTGGATAACAAATTCTCCCTTCCGTCAATCTGCTCTGACATCATTCTCCCGGCATTTATGTGCATATAGGGGTAGATGGAAGACTGGTCACTAGTGTGAAGCCTGGTTGCGTCTGGGAGGTGGACTTTTGCATGGCTCAGTGTTTTCGTCTTTCTTCTTTGAGCTTGACTGTCTCATTTGGGAGATGTGGTGTAAGGCCTAAAATTAAAGTTCAATATTATGTGTGCCATGACATCTGGGGGAAACCAGGAGGGCCCTGAATGGCCTAACAGTAAGTCCTCCTTC